AGTGTAAGTCAGGTGATGGATACAGGAACATTTTAAAGTCACTAACAATCTCTGGAAGAACAGTTGAATGCATTGTTAAGAAATGGAAGGAATATGATACATCCATAAATCTGTTTAGAACAGGCTGCCCTCTAAAACTGAGTGAACATGCAAGAAAGAAACTAGAGAGGGAGGCCACCAACACAGCTATGACTCCTGTAACTCTGAAGGAGTTACGAGCTTCAGAGGTTAAGATGGGAGGGGCAGCTGCCCAGGTTCTTCACCAGGCAAAGCTTTATGGGAGAGTGGCAAAGAGAAAGCCGTTGTTATGAAAAGCTAAATTTAAATCTGTCTAGGGTTCGCCAGAATGTTCGCATGTTGGAGACACTGAAGTCAACTGGAGGGAGGTTCTTTTGTCTGATGAGACCAAAATTGAGCTTTTTGGTCATTGGACAAGACACCTAACATGCCACATCATCACAAACACATCATTTCCACCATGAGGCATGGTGGTGGTGGCAGCATCATGATGTGGGGATGTTTCTTTGCAACAAGCCATGGAAGACTTGTGAAGGTAGAGGGTAAAATGAGTACAGCAAAGTTCAGAGAAATCCTGGAGGACAACCTGATGCAATCTGTGAGAGAACTGTAACTTGGGAGAAGATTTGTTTTCCAGTAAGACAATGACCCAAAGCACACAGCCACAGCTACACACAAATGGTTTAAAGACAACAAGGTGAATACTCTGAAGTGCTGAGTCAGAGCCCAGACCTCGGTCCAATTTAGAATTTGTGGCTGGACTTAAAAAGGTATGTTCACTCACAATCCATGTGCAACTTGACAAAGCTTGCACAGTTTTGCAAAGAAGAGTTAAGTAAAACTGCAGCATCCAGATGTGTAAGGCTGACTGAGACCTATCCACACAGGCTCAATGCTGTATTTGTTGCCAAAAGCACATCTACTGACTTGAAGGGCAATTATTTATTTCATGCTTTGTATTTTAAATTAATTAACATTTTCCCCATTGACATGAAAGTCTCTTTTTTTGTAAATTCTTGTTCAAAAATAGCCTAATTAAATTGACCATGATTTAGTGTTAAAAAGCAATAAAGGGAAAAACCTCCAAGGGGAATCAACTCTTGTTATGGACACTGTAAATAACTTCCATGTTTCCCATGAAAGCGCTGTAAGTTAAGTTTTTTGGCCAAACTATTCCAACGAATGTGACCTCGACTGCAACTTACTGATACACACGCAGTCTGTCAGTGACATCAAAAACATTTCCACTGACCTTTGCTAAGAAAAGATGTAAAGCTGTGAAAATAATTGACTTTAGACAGTTTGGACAGCTTTCTCTCTCCTGACCTGGGCTTCACCTCAGGCTTCCCAGAGGCATCTTGACACTTGAGTCATGTTTAGCCCCTGACTCACACCTGAGGAACACAGACTGTCTTTACACTAAAATGATTTCAGGAATCACAGCACCACTCTGTCCTCTGCGTCATACTCCCAGTGGGAGAACAGACAGGTGTTTGTGTGAGGGGCCGTGGACTGCATAAACAGTTGTTCATTAGTTTGGACAGCAGAGGTCATTGTAACTCACAGACGCGTCCCACAAGCATTGAGCAATACTATTATATTTACATATAGATAAGAATTATAATGAAGGAGACCGGCTGGAGCACATTAAATGTGTAACAGCATGATGTTTGCATCTGTTTAACATTTCTGGACACTGACAGCTCAGAGAACTAAATGTCATACCGTACTGTTTCTTCAGTGCATGCTGAGCACGAGGACCTTAACCCACTGAGTGGTCAGGACACTGCCACCTGTTGTGCTTCCCCATGCTTTCACCTTTAGGGGAGGAAATAAATATCCAGCACCGAAATCTGAATTCTACAAGCAAGAGACAACTTCATGTGAAGCACCCTGTGTACACTATTCTGTTTACATTCATACAGTGTATTGTTTTCACTCTTGTTGCACTGAGTTGTACTCTGGGGCATATCTTCAGTCCTGTCTGTTGCCTGCTGGTTAAAAATAATGTGGTTATTGCAAGATGATGCCATTTGGAATCCATCCATGCTTATCTATACCGCTCAATCCTCACTAGGGTCCTGGGGGCCTGGAGTCTATCCCAGCTGACTCAGGGTGAAGGCAGGGGACACCCTGGACAGGTCAGCAGTCTATCACAGGGCTACACTTAGAGACAGACAACCAAGCACACTCACATTCACACCTACGGACAATTCAATTCAATTCAATTCAATTCAATTCAAATAACTTTATTTATCGCCTAGGGGAAATTCTAAAGCTCACCGAGTATTTAATATAACGACGTAGAAATAAATAAATTTTAAAAAATGTAATAAAAAATAAACAATAAACAACATCATAAATATTACATTATATTACATGGGCATTGGCAGGGAGTCAGCGGGTCAAAGATGGTTGTGCATTTAGAAGGAGGACAGCACTGAGAACAAAAGTTGCCCTCCTTCTTTGAGTCCGGCAGCCTGGGCAACAAAGGCGATGTCCACAGGGGAGCCACTGAAATGCAGGGGAACAGTGGTGTGATGGGTCCTGAAGGATCTTGCTGACATTCCTTAAGGTCTGTTGCTCACAAAAGGTGGAGAGGGCTCTTACAGAGATCCAAAACATTTTGGAGCAGATTTTGACAACACTCAGTAGAATGTGTTGTTTAGAATCACTAATTAACCTCAACATGTTTTTGGACTGTGGGAGGAAGCCAAAAAACCTGGAGAGAACCCATGCTGCATGGAGAGAACATGCAAACTCCACGCAGAAAGATCCCAGATGTCCTAACTGGGACATGAACCAGCGATCTTGTAGCAGTGAGGTGACGGTACAAACCACCGCGTCACCTTGCAGCCCCCCATTTGGAATCATTTCACTTTTTTTTTGATATTGCATAGAATTACTGTAAAGGGACTATATAAGTAAACTTTGATTGATTGATTGATTGATTCATTCATTCATTCATTCATTCATTGATAAAATGATTGGTTATGACCTAATGTCCTGCACTCATTAACACTGGTATTGTTACTAATGGATAAAAGCAGTGAATCATGCAATGTGACAACTATTGTTTGCAGTGATGAACTCAGAATTTTATCACCCAACCCCACAGTTCCTACCAACTCTGCAGCATCTTTCAGCTTATTGTTTTGTATTACATCCCACAGACTCACTGGTTTGATTCACTCTCAGTCATTTAACTTATCAACTTTGTTTTTAGCCTTTCCCATGAAAACTGACAGACTCACTGTCTTACACCTGTTGGCCGACAGGTAAAGGTAGCTGATTTAGACAAGAAAAAAACCTGCTGAACTATGAGCCATAATAGGTTTATACAGTGATTTCACTGTTGTGTTTAGAGTTTTGTTCTGCACCTTCAGAGTGGAAAAAAAAAGTCAAGTAATGCTGCTTTAAGTACTATTTCAAGGTGTTCACACCACTTTACACTCCACTACATTTCACGGACAAACATTCTGCTCTTTAATTCACTATTTTCATTGCTGGATTGCCAAACTAGTGGGTTAAAGAGTGGAATAGTTGAAAATGCCTGCCAGTCACTGGGGCCAGGGAGTCCATTATTGAATGGCTGTGTGAGATGTTACGAGTTGTTAAGATTTCCCATTGTAAAGTGAAAGGGAAAAGTTCCTCTGAGAGACCATAAAACTACCATAACATTAAATTTGAGACTGTCACGGAACAGAGAGAAAGACTTCGGCACCCTGGGGTCTCTGTGACTAAATTAATTTGACAGCAGTTGTTACACCTTGCATAGTATAATATAATGCTTTGTTATCACTTAGTACTTTTATGTTTGATACTTTAAAGCTGTATTCAGTATTTTGTCCACTTTTGGGCAGAACATTTAAAATCACACAGATCTGACATGCAGCGACCTTGTAAAGTAGATATGGCCAATTCATTGCACAGGCAACCTGTCATACCTGCTCAATCAGGTATGAATGTTCAATAAAAAAAAAAAAAAACTTGAAGTATTTATATTTAAAAGTATTCTAAATGCATTATTATGATGTGGTTCAGAAAACATGAGTAGTTGTCTTATGCATTCTATTGTTTTTTGTACTAAGCTTTTCACGACGGCTTGAATTTTTTTCCACAGCTGAACACACACATGATGAAGAGACTTTTTGATCTACTCGTCCAATATCACAGATTCAACAGCATGACAAGAAGTAACAGAAAAATGTTCCTGAGAAATTGTTGCTCAAATATAGCCTTAAAAAAATGCCAAAAAATGTGCTGAAAGTGGGTCGACAGGCAATTCAATTTTCTTTTAAATTATCTCAGCAAGTATTTGATACATCAAGCTAAAATTTCACAAATATCTTTATAAATATCCCTATTCATGAGATTCAAGAGATAGTCAAGCAGAAATTGTTCTAAAAATGTGATGATTTGAGATAAAATGACCGGTATGGTACATTGTTCATATAGAAATACTGACTGCAGCTTTTAGCATATTTAGCTATTATTATTTCGGTACTTTCAAATAAGATTTGATTTGGGAGGCAGGAATGTCAGATGTTTGTGTTTATTGCTACGTTAAGTTATAGAAGGGATCTGAATACTTCTTCCATGGTTGTATTAAAGGCTAGTTACAGGTGACCCTCAGTTAACCTGCAGTTCAAACCGGTGAATGGAAGTAAAACTATTTAATCCTTGCTGTCTTCACAAGTGACAATGGGAGCATAACCGTAAATGTGGAAACATACTGCAGCAGAGGCACAAAAATAATCAAAAAGGCATTTAACATGAATATTTGCCACCTGATACCAGCCGAGTCACATAATAGGAAAACCTGAATGCATGAAGTAGAGCAACATGGTGTTGTGTTTTACTGGGTTTGACTTTGAGATTGTTTTTTTCAGCTTAAGTGAGTCTCACTTTAAGTGCAAACACAGTCTTACTTTTGCTAGTCTGAAGTCTCACAGCCGCCAACAGCAGATCGCACACTTGGATGATTCGTATTTGACTTTTATTCATTTGTGGTTTTCACCAGACATCGGTGTGAATTTCTGATAAGAACATTTGTCTATTTAGCAAAGCAACCAAGACATTTCCTCTGGAACACCATCAATGTATCACACAGCATGGATACTGTTCATACAAACTGCAGCCATTGCATGTTTACTTGTCAGATCACCAACTGACCACATGTAAAACGACACCTACTAGAAGCAGCTCTCAAATGATCATCTGACTCATTTCTTCCATAACTTTCAGTCGATACATTAAATGGTACAGAAACAGAAATAATGTCATATATTAGCATTGGCTATCAGATAAAAATACATTAGAAAAACTTAAATTTCTTTCTCATTACATTAGAAAAGACACAAGGTGATACCTTCAGCCTTTAGAAAGGCTTTGATGGACTAATACACGTAACCATGAGCTTCAAGTTTTATTTTCCTAACAAGCAGAAGGATTAGCACTGCTCTCTCTCCCATTCAGTCTTTACTGTTTTTACACAGGCACATATTTTAATCTCATTGGAACCTAGATATCTTTTTTTCCCCCCCACATGTATGTATATGACAACAGAAATTAGAACAGTGCTCTTCTTTAAACACCTGACTTACAGCCAACCAAGAGTTAAGGTCCAGATTGCTTGAGCCTGTGTAAATCCAGTCTGGGATGACAGAGCCAGAATGTAGCATTGCCAGCAGTCTACTAAGCTGCTGTCTGGTCTACACTTAGAGTGCATCGTGGAAGGGTTCAGACAAGTAGGGACTGATTTTGACACTTACATAGACACCAGGTGATAACTGAGATGTGTGAGGCAAAATTGCAGGACAGGGATAGTGCAACGTTTCTCCTGTCTCCAAACAGTCTCAGAAATACCATCTGTTACTTGTCCCCTATTCACTGCTTACATGTTTGAGATCAAATTAGGACCATTTATTAAAAGGCGCCACCTGTATATGTGATTCACTAATCACCTTTCTTTCTAAAAAATGCTTTTCCCTCAGAGACTCTGTCTTTGGTTTCCTGCAGTTTCTCAGAAAGCTTGTCCTTAGTTTCTTCCATTTTCTCTGAGAAGCGTTCTTTTGTTTCCTCCATTTTCTCTGAAAATCTCTCCTTCGTCTCTTCCATCTTTTCTGTCAGTTTCTCCTTGGTCTCTTCCATTTTGTCCTGGATGTAGTCTTTGACTGGTGGTGGTCTAGACAAGTAGCCGTGCTTGCGAAGATACTGAACAGACAGTGAGGTGCCACCCAGAGTCACCGTGTATCTAGCAGGGGTAGCAATCTGCAGGAAAACAAGGAAAAACACAATGGCTTGTCAGCACAGCAAAAGCAGCACCTGAGTCCTCCCCATAGCCTGTATCTGCTCTTTCCATGTGGACTGACTGAGGAAGTGAGACGTGTGTTAACACAGTCATGTTTCAAAGTTTGTAAATCCTCTACAAGTTTGCTCATTTCTGCACAAATATGGCCTCAAAGATCAGCAGATTTTAACCCAAGTCCTTTAAGTACAGTATACAACAAAAATGAGGACATCTCTGTATCACCTAAATGTTAAATGACTCAATTGTATGACCTCCCAGTATTTACATTACTCTACTTTAACAGTAGAGTATTTGCTCCTATGTAACAGTAGCCATTTAGATTTACTATCTTAAAAATACAAGCTCCACTGTAGGAACTCGCAACAAAGGTCAGTACATCAATATTATTACTTCAGACTCAATCCTCTTTGGCATGGAAGATACCAATGTTGCACTCATTTCTGAGGAGATGTTCTGACATTCTTTGGGCACTACCGTTTCCAGACACTCTTTGCGGGAGGAAGTGTGTTGCTCTATGTTTATCTGTAAAATACCCCAAAGATGTTTTACTAAATTTAAGTGAGGTGTAATTTTTTACTTTTTTCTTCCTCAGAAACTCTTGTGTGATCTTGGCATTGTGCTTTGGATGGTTACTGTGCTGTGAGTCTTGTCAGCAAGTAGGCAGTAAAGGTAGGTATCACCAACACATTTTGAACTTAGGCAGCCCCATAGCGTCATACCCCACCTCAACGTCTCACTGTTGGGACGATGCATTCACTGTGGCAGCCCCGGTCAGACTCACACCAAACTTTCCCCATCTTTGTGAAGCTTCTTTTTTTTAGTACCTTTGACAGTTTTTCCCATATGCAGCCTAATGCAGACAGTTGCAACCCATAGGTCCACAAGTGAGAAATATGTGGTGTTCACAGGTCCTTTTATAACCACGTTCAGGTTTAGGCCACAAATCACATGCATATGCAATTTTGTCTCAGTGTTTTCTTACTTGTATGTCAGTGATTCCAAGCATACTGACTTTTGTTTTACTGAGTTTATACTTTGGGGCCTTCATTTTTAATATAGTTTCATGAACAAACAAATATCTTAGCTACTTGTTCATAAAAGGATATCATATACTGCCAGACATAATGCAATTACTGAGAGGTAACACTGTTTTGAATCATTTCACATTGAAGTGATGTTGCATAGGAGCGTACTAACGTCTGTTGTATCATGTACATAAAGAGCACCATTGTAAAAGCTGGATAAGAGTTTAAAACATTTGACAGTTGAGTTGCTTTTAACTAATAAAATGATAATGACCAATGAGTAAAGGAAGTTAAAACAGTCAAACACAAACTAGGTCTTCCTGGATTAAATTACCTTGTACATGGCATATGCAGTCAGTGCGTAGCCACTTGATGAGTCTCTCAAAAGGCCAACTAGTGACTCTGGCAGACCAATCATCTCCAGGAATGGCACTACATTCACACCTCTGAGGGGAAGCAAAACAAGAGCACAAGAGGGGAAACATTGCAGAAGTGTCAAAAACTGCGCAATGCTGGGCTGAACAACTTTTAATAGCATTTCTAAACAGTGGTAGCTGATGTGCTAATGTTTAGATAGCACAGCAAATCAAATGCATTCTCTAATTCTGCAAAATAAATCAATTTAGAAACAAATGTTAATCTGATCTATGATGGAGGCCATAAACTCAAACAATAACACAACTCACTTCATAGCAGCATAATAGAAGGTTCCAAACCAGACAGAGGATGTCACCAGGTGCACAGGAATCAACACCTTCCCGTACTGTTTGAACGTCTTCTTAAACCTCTGAAACAGGCCAATGGACTTATCCTGCAAGGGGTCCACCTCTGCAAGATCAGGGCCAGCTTCCTCTTTCTGGATGTCCTGCGTTGGAGGTGTGAGGGTGGATTGTTGCTTGTCCTGTGTTGACTGGTGTTTTGGTTGATGTGCTGCTCTGCTGTAAGCTGAGGTTGAGAGCCAGCGTTGGCCTGCAGGTGGTGACGGTGGCAGGCGGAGGGCACAGCAACAAAACGCTGCTGGAGCCTCAGGGACGGTGACACCCACCAGCAGCGGCCGCATCGCTGCCACTCGCTGCAGCGTCCCATGAGTTAGGAGGCGCTGCATTGTCATCCTCCTCTTGTCCTCCTCCTCCTCTTTTCTGCTGCTGTGATGCTCAACCACAGACTACAGGGTCAAAAAAGCCAATGATTAAACTCCTAATTACAAATTATTTTTGATATCAACTCATCTACGATTGAATTAACAGTTTAGTCATTTTGTCTATAAAATACAATAAAATGTTGCCTGGGATGAGGTCGTTATTTAGCCCCACTTAGAGCCCAAAACCTCAAAATATATAATGGACATCAAAAGCAAACAAAGCAAATGTATGCCCAAAGCGTAGTTTAAATGATTCCATGATCAATTATGAACCAACTAATGTCAGTCCTTAAAACACTCTGACAAAGGCTAAGACTGCGTGGGAATTTTTTTTTTTATCCATCCATTATGTATACACCGCTCAATCCTCCCTAGGGTCCGGGGGGGGGGCTGGAGTCTATCCCAGCTGACTTAGGGTGAAGGCAGGGGACACCCTGGACAGGTCACCAGTCTATCACAGGGCTACACTTAGAGACAGACAACCAAGCACACTCACATTCACACCTAGGGACAATTTAGGGCAACAAATTTCCAATCCTGATCCTCGAGGGCTACAATCCTGCATGTTTAAATGTTTCCCTCTTCCAACACACCTGATTCAAATGATCAAGATCGTTATCAGGCTTCTGCAGAGCTTGATGATGAGCTGATCACTTGAATCAGGTGTGTTGGAAGAGGGAAACATCTAAAACATGCAGGATTGTGGCCCTCAAGGACCAGGATTGGACACCCCTGATTTAGAGTAACCAATTAACCTCAACATGTTTTTGGACTTGTGGGAGGAAGTCAGAGAACCCAGAGAGAACCCCTGCTATATATATATATATATATATGTATTAGGAGATTTAAAATGTACTCAAATTTGACAGAAAATTATATCCAAAGCATTCAAATATACAACTGTCATGTGGGACTGTACAGCTTGAATAAAATGCAGCTGATCCAACTTGTTTTGTGCTACAATATATATTTGAAATGCTCTGGCCTGGCTTTTAAAATATATTTGACATACTTGTAGTCCATTCTATTTCTCTTAATCACAGTCATAACTGGGTGGAACACTGACCTTTAGATTCCCTCACTGAAAACTCTATGACGTGCTGACACATACAGTAATTCAAGCTGTAAAAACAAACATCAAACAAGTCTACCACCACTGAGTACATTGTGAGGATTTTTTACTTCCTACTGAGCACATTAGTAGTTTCCTCCTTATTATAGCACTACTATTACTTTGCTGAGCATTCAGAGAGTTGCCTCAGATCTCAGTGTAGTGGCTCTCTGGTTACTCCAAAATCTAGATTTAACATGAAAGAAGAGTGGATCTTCACAAACTCTATATATTTCCACCTTTTTGATAGTTGACCTTTAGATTATTAGCTTTTTTTTTTCTATGTCCTGGGTGTCTTAGGCAAAGAGCATTATATACCTTTTGTAGGACAAGGTTAGCAGCCTTTGCCTCTGTGATGAATACCAAATGCCATCACACTAGTTTTATCCCTTAACAGCCACGACCTAAATCCCTTCATGGATTAGTTAGAATGCTACCAATCATATGGCAGAATAAAGGTTCTGAACATACCTTATGTTAGGGTTACACAATCATAAAGTCACCAACCGACGCAAAACAAACGAGAACAAGAAGGATCTTCCATGTAGTTTAGAAAGGCGTTTTCCACAGCTACTGAAAAAACACAACTAGGTTTGCTGTTGTTTGACAAACTTCTTACAGATCTTCTAGAGAAATTACAGAAAAGGCCAGTGAAATCACCGCAATACGACAGGTAGTCTTAACAACTGTCTTCACAATAACACTACTAAAACAGACCGTAGGAAAAACACAAGGTGAGTATTTGTCGTGGATTATTTTAGAAGTTACAACCGGAAGTGTACGGGCTACAGTCATGCTAACTTTACACAGGCGTCTATTTTAGGCTAGTTGACATTGGACAGTTTTGTCTGGAGGACAACAGGGAGGCAGCGTTTAGTCAACGCATTGGTAGGAGGTTCTGACCAAGAAAAGAAGCTTTATCTTATTAAAGCACACAGCATGTGTTTAGACACTGACTGGCAGGAGGGTTGGCTCAGGCCAAACTGACCACCTGCCAACTTCAGCTTCTGACGCCTGATGTTAGCTTGTTAGCTAGCTGCACTGCTAAGCACGTAAATAAGGTGTCATTACCAAGAAAATACACCACAGCGGAAAACAGAAAGCAGATTACACTTACTCTGTCACTTACAGGTAGAGTTCAGGGTAAAGCAGCACTCCTCAGGACCGAGGGCCATGCGAGAGTGCCTGGGCTAAGTGTCGTTCAAGACCACATTTATCTCTGCAGCAATGGACTGCGTGGTAGCCAGCATGTAACCCAAATCGCACAGAGAACCATGGGAAATGTAGTTCTCATGATGCAGGCTGTGGAATGCTTGAACTCCGTTAAGAAATTCATTTCCCATCGTGCCTCGCGGAAAGTCAACCTCTTGGACACAGATGAAATTTGCTTCTGGTTGGTTTTCCACCCGCTAGGGCTGTGTGCCACTGACGACCTTAAATACGGCTCTACAAGACATCAGATCTAATAAATGTGGCAAACACTGGTTGTGTTTTTGTAACGTTTTCTGCACACTAATTAAAGTATAGGGTTACAAGGTGATGCAGTTGTTCGCACTGCTGCCTCGCAGCAAAAAGGTCGCCGGTTCGCATCCCGGTGGGGGCGCCGGGACTTTCCTGCGTGGAGTTTGCATGTTCTCCCCGTGCAGCGTGGGTTCCCTCCGGCTTCCTCCTACAGTCCAAAAACATGTTGAGGTTAATTGGTGATTCTAAATTATCCGTAGGTGTGAATGTGAGTGTGCTTGGTTGTTAGGTTCCAGCCCCCCCCCCGACCCTAATGAGGATTAAGCGGTGTACAGATAATAGATGTATGACATTAAAATATAAATTTCACACATAGACTTTACACAACAGAGTAAAACAAGACAACGGGCACTGCTATACAATCAAGTTTGATCATTTATATTGACTCTTTTTGAAAGCACACAGGCCTGTCTGTGCAGTAACACTATTCATTTCAATGCGTTCGTACATATTAATATGCAAGAGTGGCGCTTGGCAGGTCACCATCATGTAATACATGAGCTTCACCAGCAGAGGCCGCTCCGCACACATCATTGAAGCTATCTGGCCATAGTTGGCCTTTCTACAATTGCTAAAAAAAAAAAAGAATAATATCTCTTCTATACTGTGTTTGGTTTTCCAGCAAGGATATTACTATTCTTAGTCTAAAAATCGGTATTTAATTAAAATGATAAGTTCCAGTTTTGTTCTAGACCAGCATCTGAAGTTGATGGGAACTTAATACTAACATCATCCCTGGCATTGATTAGGATTCATGATCTTGTTCATGCAATCTGAGCAGGAGGGATGCTTGTTGACTGAATGGTTAAAATAAAGCCCTCCAGCTGAAGAAGAGCCTCTCCCCACTGAGTGACCTGACACAGTGTATGAATCTGTGATTGAGATCTGAGCATATTTGGGACTCACTTAGCTCTACCCTGCAATGATCTACAGTCAGATCAATCCTATGCTGCAGATCTGAGTTTTCTCTATTTTGTTTGCTTTGTATCCAGTAGGCTACATAGGGGGCTGAAAGGAAGATCTGTCATTTCACAAATGCCAGTGCCTGCTGGGACTTCATGGCTCCTGAACTATATGTTCTGTTATAAAAATCTGACATATTTAAAGCTGCTCCCAGGGGAAACAGACCATCTGATGATGTGGGAAAGGAAGCTTTCTGAAGCAGTCAATCACTACGAAGTAAATGTATTGAAAGCGATAATGGCAAAACAAGATTTTCCTGAAGCAATGAAGCTGTAAAACCAAAACATTAATTACTTGAAGCATTATCATGACACCTGCCAGTAAAAATAATTAAGAGAAAAGAAAATCTTAAGATTGTGTACTGCTGCACAAATATTCTCTTGCCTCATCTACTTTGTCCCTACTCTGTATTACTCCTAGATTTGCTGTTGTGGGTTTTAGAATTCCTCCTGCATTTGTGATTTCCTGCTTCCAACGACAAGGCATGTCACAGCATCCCTTTGGATCCTGAGACTCTTATTCCCTCTGAGAGCTCATGAGGTCATGGGCGTTCTGTGGAGTGACCTCTGTTTTCAGTCAGGCTAGGACTGAACACGCTGGCTTCTTTGAATTATATAAGTGTTCTGAACACGACGGAGGCATATGTCATTAACTTATAACTTCATTTATTATGTCAGGATTGCTCTTCAGATTTGTTGTTGCACCTGGATTATCTTCTCCTTTGCAGTGGTGCTGATCCTGAAATATTTCACAACTCTTCTGTGAAATGATAATTCTGGATGTTTTGTGTGCCATTTGTCAAGGTGTCGGTATTGTGTTAAAGATGTTTGGCCCTATTCTTTTAAGACAGTTGCACACACCTTTCTCATTTTGAATGTTTATTTGTCCACCAAACACAATAAAATTAGCATTCGCTTCTTGCTTTGAGGAATGGTCAATGGTAAATGGTCTGCACTTATATAGCGCTTTTCTACCTTAGTGGTACTCAAAGAGCTTTACAATGTTTTCTCATTCACCCATTCATACACCAATGGCGACAGAGCTGCCAGGCCATTTGGGGCAACTTTAGGTTCAGTGTCTTGCCCAAGGACACTTCGACTGTGGAGGGCCGGTGGATCATACCACCAACCTTACAATTAGAGGATAACTGCTGTACCACCTGAGCCACAGCCGCCCTACAAGGAGGTTGCCATCATACTTTATATTGTGCATGTGTGGAGCACGTCCATGTACACATTTTCCGGAGCATCCAGCATTTTAACAAATGTCTACAGCAGGGGTGTCCAATCCTGATCCTCGAGGGCCACAGTCCTGCATGTTTTAGATGTTTCCCTCTTCCAACACACCTGATTCAAATGATCAAGATAACTATCAGGCTTCTGCAGAGCTTGATGATGAGCCGATCATTTGAATCAGGTGTGTTGGAAGAGGGAAACATCTAAAACATGCAGGACTGTGGCCCTCAAGGACCAGGATTGGACACCCCTGGTCTACAGGAACTATTAAGTGACCTTTAGTCAGAATACAGTTTTAGGATTGTTCCTGTGTTTAATATGGCCTGCATTATTAAAACATTTTTCTGTTTTGTTATTGCTATTATCACTAGTGCCACTAGGGCAATAGACAGCTGGCATGCCTGCTTAAGGAGTTGACCCAACTGTTTATTAATGGTGTATGTTTAATACGGACTGACTTCCACGGCAGCCCAGAGCTAACAAACAAATCCTCCTATGTTGCAAAAGAACAAGCATTAATGCAAACATAGTAAGCCAGTCATACAGAGAACAACCTCAATCGCAACTAATGCATATTGAAATACAATTTCACACTAATTAGTAAATTATTAACCATTGAAGGCAGACAAGACAGAAGAATGTTACATTGATCAAAGCCTAGATTTAGTACAGCATATACAGACATTGCCGTGGATAAATTGCAGCAGTAGGCGGGAAAAATTCATACCAGAGAAAAAAAAACAAAGAAACATCATCTGTATTTCTTTTATTGCTCCGACTCATTAATTCGAACAAATGTCTATATTGTTGGTATGTATGCCAATCATATGCTGTGCATTATCCTTCAAGGAGAAAATTCCACATTACATAAATACACAATTATAAACAGCATTCAAAGAAAGACTTTCAGAGCCACAGAATGAATTTATTTTCTAATGAACTGGAAAATCTGTGGCAAGTGTGTCAGATGTGAGACAGCTCATATTTATTCCAAGCACCTCGTGATATAGGGATACATGCCATTTTTAGTCTTCAGATCGCAAACACATCTTGTGAACATTTCATAGTTGAGTTGCGTTCATAGGACTTGTTGTTGCAATCCTGTATCATAATCAACACACATTCCCTGAGTGGGGGAAGCACATTTAAAACAAGTGCTCCTAATTTGAAATAATAGTTTAACATTACAAACTGACATGATTATCAGAAGTGAAAAGTTGGAAAGTCATCTTAAGGAATATAAATTGTTAAAGTCAAACCTTACAAGATTTACAAAGAGAAACCCAATGATTCCCTTTGAGTAAGCATCTACTCAAACACAGTGGAGTAGAAAGCTGTATTTAATAGGAAGAAATCTCTGGCAGAACCAGACTCAGGAAATGAGGACATCTGACTTGTCTGATTTGGTGAGAGGAGAAGGACAAGGTAAGCAGTGAGAAGCAACAAACCTTAAAGCCAGTTTATACTTTCGACATATTCAAAGGTACGTGTGGCATAAATTTTGTCATCCACCCAAATCTGCAAGGTTCTGCAAGAACGCATGGATGCGAAGCCCAAAATTTAGAAAGTCTTCTGGTAGACTTTCTAAGCCAATAGGTGGGCAACCTTCCTCCTTGTCATTTCATTGAGAGGCCCACTCAGCAGTGGGGACAGAAATAGAACCTTTACTGTGGTCATCCTCAGTGTTTTATTGATACCACCACGCTGCCTCAGGACTCATTGGTGAAACCTGGTATTCCAACCTCCTTCACTTATGCCCCTACTGCTGACTGATAGCCCAGCTCTTATATTTTCATTTCAGCCAGACCCAGTTGCTTCTCTTTTTGGCAGCATCTGACAATAATTTGATAGCCTGCAGTCAAACTCCCATCCCTTTCAGCATCCCAGGTTGACATGCCCACAAAGCCTCAGCAGCCAACCTTAAGAGGGAGCACCTGTGTTTTCCAGTCCTTTTGTTTAGTTTCAGTTGCTAGAGTGTAGTGCTTTAGCTGTTTTGCATTCATACATTTTTCCAACTGTGTCCTCCCATTAGACTGTCAGTGCTACACTGCTTTTACCCTTCCCACCTGAGAATAGTTGTTATAATCTCCAATCATGGGTCGTATCCAGTACCCTAATTCAATTTTCTCTTTCTCTTTGGTATCTTCTCTGCTGATACAACAGACATGGTGTTTGAGATTCCAGGGACTGGAGGAGGGAGAACATTGTTGTTAGTTCTCCTTACCTCCAGCAGTGGTACTACTGCTAGAGGAAAGGATCACTTGTTTGCCAGAGGATGTGGTTGTGCCTCATAGTTCCCTTGTGTGAGACGGGTCTTGCAGCCAGTGAGTATATGTACTGTGGGATAACTGGTGCTTGGCAAAGGGGGCATAATGAGTCTTCCCCAATCTACTGTTTCATGTTCTTGACAAAAACATCATACAAGACTATGATGATAAAGCTAATTCCACTTCTGTTTATTTCCCAAAGATCCTTCCAGGTAAGCTACCAGTGTTCAAAGTTTTCCCATCTTGTCCTTTGGCCCTGTTCTGCCTGTAAA